TCCGTAACAAAAAAGTTTACGTGTTTTTGGGATTTGACATTCTTTGTAGAAATTCTGCGTATTCAAATGCACAAGCCAAAAGAAATAATACCAGCCGAAAGGATAAGGGTTGTCTCTCCATGGAACATAAATTCTTTTTGCATTTATGAGGAAAACCCATAGTTACGGACGTGACAGATCTGAAATTGACACTTGTCTGACTCGGTTAAAGTTTTTAAAGCATTTTATCTGATTTGCCCGAGATCTAATTGTGGGTCTCTGTTGGGTATTTCTGTGTGAAAAAGATGTCCAAAAAAAGGTGAGCATAAAGTACATACAGTATTTTCATTTATTGTTTAATGTGAACATCTTTAAGAAAGATAAATAATTAAGAACATGAACTTTTTTACACAGGCCAACATTTGTAACTGACTAGCGTTGAGGATTTTGGAGCAACAAGAGCTCTGTAAAACAGATGTCCAAAAAAGGTGAGCATACAGTATATTGATCACTGTTATGAGCATGAATCGTTGTGAATAAGAAACTTACAAAATATTAATTAAGAAAGTTAATTCACTGTAGACATAAAATAAAGTAAAATTAATTCATTGTAGTCAGTCTTTACTTTTTACATGTTATTAAATATTGTAAGGATGAAATTATCAAATGTAAAAGCTAATGTAAAACATCAATCAAGGCGAAACAAACATGCAAAACATCAAATAAATGAGTACAAATGTGATTAATTAGATTACTTTTTTTTCTTTTCTCTTTCTGTTCTGCAAAGACTGCCTCTGCAAAGTGAAACCTCTCTCTGTTGTCTACTTTTGGGTTGAAAGTCTCAATCACTTGGTCAGGTGTCACACAAGCTTCACAGGTAAGATGTACACTAATCCAGCTCTGTCATTCCTTCTTAAGAACCTTAGTTCCAGTGCCTCCTGCTCTCGGTTATTAACAAATCCGACAAACTGCCTGAATGATTTGTTTGCCTTGAATTGGACCAAGACACAGTCTCCAGTTTTGATGTTCTTTGCAGCTGTTGACTGATGCTCACAGGACTGGTGTTCGGGACTTTCAGCAGATGTGATTTCCGAGAGCAGAAATGTATGGACACCGGACTGTTCTGCCTCGGAGTAGATTTTGTGACGCACTTTTCCCCAGGAGACTGGCTCCATGTGATGTACTGATTGAGTGCCTGGAACAGCTGAGGAAATGGCCCATCTCTCATTTAGCTTATGATGCTGTATAAAATCTGCGATTTCGTTGGATGTAATGAGTTTGATGTTGATGTTTGGGCAACTCTTCCTTGCAGAAGCTACAAATGAAGCAGCATCTGTCACAAGGACTGCCTGTCTGCTGAGGACATCAGTGTTAACTGCACGCTTCACTGTTGCTCCTACACCGTCCACTGCACCTTTGCCGTGGCTTGTGGCAAAGAAGTGCCACTGTACTCTTAAAGCTGGAAACAGCTCCTTGAATGTAGTTGACATGAAACACCAGATGAACTTGTTCTTAAACTGAGAAGCAGCTCCATCACTAAATATGTTAATCTCTTTCATTGCAGGATGTTTCATTTTAATGTCCTCCACAATCTTGGAGAGGAAGGTTGCCACAGACCTCTTGTGGTGTTCCAGGCTGTCACTCACTATGGCATATGACTCAGGATCTCCATCAGACCACAGGACTGAGGAAAACACTGTGACCTGCTTCTGATGCCAGTGTGCCGATTGGATCTGGTCTTGGTAGGCAGCGGTGTAATTTTCGGCAAAATTTTCTGGTCTGTTTTTGCCTGCAGTTTTTTGGCCTGGAAAAATCCACTTTGCTGTTTTTTAACAAAACAGTGATGCACTATTTTCTCAAGAGAGCGGCTACAAAATTTAAGTACATCACCTAGTGTGCCACTCTTTTGGACCTTATTTGGCAGCCCTTCGGTTCTTTCCCCATGCATACCAGGTCACCTTAATTTAGTTATCTTCTTCTGGGATGTTCCAGAGGGTACGCATTTTCAAGAGCTTGCCATTCCTGCATTCAGCACACTGTCCTAACATGCAGAGGGGACTATCTGGATTGCAGGCCACATCTTGGGATTATATGTTGCAGACAGTCCAGAGCTAACTTAATGTTTTCGTGATATCGGCAGAGACACACATTTCTTGGAGTGTCTGAAGACTGGAGCACATGAGATGGTCGAAGCTCAGCAAATTTAGATTTTCCAATTATAGACTCCGGATGTTCATGTTTGAAGTAGCGGTAGGCCTCTAGAATAGACATTGTTAAATGTCGTTTCTGGATTTTCTTTTTCACTCCTCCCTCTCTGACTGTGACCACATCCCTCATTCCTGGTGCTTGCCTAGAGATGTCATCTCTCTCAGAGTTTCCTGACATGATCATATGTAGTAGTGGTGGCGGTCACATGATTCATTTTCTTCTTCTCTGGAAGAAGGCACAGTGATGTAGTGTGTTCAAGATATTTTATTTATTATTGTAACTTGTACACTTTTCTCAAAATTAAAATGCACATACATGTAAATATCAAATTACTTACCATTTATTTCAAATAAAGTAGATATTTATCCAGAAATAGAAGATCTGCAGTCACCTCAGAAACAACTCCGCTTGGTCAACAGAGGGCGCGCGCGGGAAAGAAAATGAGGGAAAAGGCAACACGCGTCATCACGAGAGGCGTGTTAATACTACTTATTAATTAAATTAATTATGGCGATATGTAAATCTTAATTGTTTTCTTTATTAAAAATGTAATGGTGTTCTCTTTATTAAAAATGTTTTTTTTAATATATTTTTTTATGTTGCTAGAATGAATTTGTTACTGAAATGTTCTGATATAGCCTACAGTAACAGAGGTACATTTAATGTGAGCCAGTGATTTTAATAGCAACAGCATTGTGAACAAATATGAGCTGGTCACTTGCATGATTTAATTACGCGTCCGTAACGCATAATTAAGGTTGTTTAGAGCAAGTAAGTGAGATGAATTGTCCATCATAATTAGCACGGACATATTTTGGCTTTGTATATGAAGTTTGACATTATTTCTATTCATATTTATTATACAGTATAAACGTTATATTTAAATCGTTACGGACGGCACTGAAGCGTCATGACTTCCTAAATATATCGCTTATAAATTTACAAGGCAGTGCTCTCATAACAAAGTGAGTGTATTTATTTCTCATGCATCCCTCCATCTTTCTGCAAAATGCTTACTGTTAACATAAAGTATAAAAAAGGGAGTCTTTGATCCCTCTTTTGAAAGCATGAAATACGGTTGACTGAAAATGTAAATTTTCTATCTGTGCAAACCTCACATGTGGTGAATAAACAAAGCAATTTCCTTAAAATTTCCCCGACAGCACATCAATACAATAAAATACAGACCTTAAAGGACAACTTTGAAAGGGTTTTGTTATTTTGGTAAAAAAAATAATTTTTTCATGGCAAGGTTGACATTTGCATGGAATTGAGAATAATTAGGAATCAACCCGGTTTTATTTATTTATTTTTTGTACTTACTACATTACACATCTCTATAAGCCTCTGAAGCCTCTAATGGTACAAATAATTTCTCTAAAATGCCTTAGTAAAATTACTTTATATAAAATGCACATATTATCTGAAATGTCTGGTCAGTCATGCCTTCTAGTTAACTGAAATGAGGTCTTTGTAGCCCTCTAAAGTGTAATAATTTCATATATCTTGAAATTTGTTCATGTGATTGTGCATATGCTAGCCTATGGGAGGTCCTCTGTAAGAACTGACAATAGTTTTTTTTTCTGCTTCTTAGAAATGAGGTCTTTATAGGCCTCTACAGGACAATAATGACACATTTGTCAAAAATTCTGCAGTAAAATGTTTTCATATGAGGTCTTTCATATAAGAACTGACCACTATGTTTTTATGGTTATTAGAAATGGGGTTTTTTTTAGCCCTCGAAAATGTAATATCACATCTCAAAACTGCTGTAAAAAAATGTCATACGTGAAGATCTGTATGAGAACTGACTTCTTTAACTTGTTAGAAGCCGGGTCTTTATAGGTCTCTGAGGTATAATAATGGCAC